ATGTATCAGAAAACAATATTAATGTATGATGTATAATTAAAATTAATTTCAATTGATATTAGTTAATATTTATTAATATTAGTAATATTTAAATTTTATTAATATTTATTAATAATTAATATTAATAAATAATAATTAATATCAATGAGAGAGATAATTGGCAAAAGTGACAGTAAGCTATTAAAAACACTACTTCAAGTAGCGTTTCAATAAGCTAGTTTATATGTATACGAACGTGTATCTAGAAAATAAACTAGCTTATTTTTGGCAAATAATGCCTAAATCTTAAGGACAAAAAGAACAATGAATTTTAAACCATGGTGATGAAAAACATAATTTCAAAATCACAGGGACGGAAATAGAAATTTCAGCAAACCACGAAAAATTGTAATGTATGGGCCATTTACAAACATTTACCTGGGTAAACGCTAACCAAGTCACATTACTATACTGGATTAATATAGCAAGAATCAAGAATCTTACCCAGTAAAAGCGAAAGCAATGATCGAGAGTCCTATCCAGTGACGGTTCTTATCATGGTTAACGCTTATCGGGTAAATTGTTGCATACGATACCGTTCTGGTGGTCTAAATCTTACTTGGTAAGTAAATGATAGTTTTGAAATTTACCGGTAAACATTTAACTGGATAAACGTTTGATAAACGAGCCCTTAATGTTTTGTAATCATTTTCTACAACAATTTCTTAAAATGACATCAACTTGATAAACTATATTATAATTGAATATAACTTCAAAATTTTCAATTTAAATTTTAATTATTTATCATAAATTAGTACTTTCTTAAAAAGGCATTTTCATCTTGTATCCTGTTTAGGGATGTTTGCGATATGGTATTGGTCAAAACTGTAAACCATACTGTATATGCAGGGCCGGCTCTGGCCACGTGCATCCCGTGCGGTCGCACAAGGCATCAAAGCCTAAGGGGCATCAAGTTGTCATTTATTACTAGTTTGGGGTTTAATAATTTAGGAATTGGACAACTGAGTTTTAACTATAAAAATAGGCTCAAGGTCTAGTAGTGATGAATACTGAATGCACATCGTTGGAAAAAAAGTTGGAAACGTTTTTGTTTGTATAAAGTTGTCTGTATGAATAAAGTTGTCTGATACAAATTAAGAGGCATTGTTTAGCTCCTATAGTTTATGATTTTAGAACCGAGCAAAATATATATATATATATATATATATATATATATATATATATGACTTTAGATCGTTGTCCTAAGCCACATACTAGAATTATGGCGGGCATATTCTACGTCTATCAGATTGATCTTTTGATATTCTTTTGTTTAGTTTACCAAAATAGCAAGTACAAAAGTTTTCGAAGAGTTTTTTTTGGAGGGTTCTATTCATCATGAACGATCCCATATTTATATCTCAGTGGATCAGTGATTCATTGACAAATTTGTTCCAGTTTGAACCATGTATTATTTGTCCTTTTACCATGGTTAGTCACACATGCTTCACTCTTCTTGGGCCCATGGTTGGCAAAGATGCACAAGACTCGGGTCTTTCAAGTCCGTTTCCAATGAGTAAAAAAGGCTCGAACTTTTTTACGTTTGAACCACGCTTTGAGGTTTAAAATTAAGGTCCTTTGAGACAGGCTTTTTTGGGGCAAACCTAATCCAGGTCTGCCTCCAAAGTTTTGCTTGATCGGACTCTGAGACCTAACCTGAATGACCTGGCCTGAACTGGGTTTTAGACTGGTTTCAGGCTTAGGTTGTTTTATGCATCTCTAACGGCATGGGGATTAGCACCTAATTTATATGACAAGATCATCGTATATTAACCACATATATTGAGAAAAAGTAGAATGTCTAGTAAACATATACTTCTGTAATTAACTTGGATATACAACCCGCTATGCGAGCCCACTAATCCCAGGACGACCACCTGCTTTGCAGATAGCCTGAAGTCACTGCATTTGATCCTCCGTGGGCACAAGACAAATGAAATTCATCTTATATATTCCATCCTTCATGTGCTCATACATACATTAATATTTTATCGATTATACATTCATTTAGTTTATCATTTTATTCCGTCTTTAATAAAGTGCTAATTAATCAATCAACGCACAATTGATAGACAGACAAACGACAATTTGTTTTAGACAACTTCCACACAGACAACGGGTGTCATCCATACTTTTCAAGAAAAGATTAAAGAAAAAGTCCTTCATCAACTTATGGTTGTCATTTTCATTTCATGCGTTTTACATAATCATAGCTACTGTTTCCTAAGTGATCAAAACCTCCTTTTTGGCATATAATATTTGTAAAGAAAAGTTTGTCCCACAAAACATCAACATAAGTGCCAGAGCATCATTTCATTCAAGCATCAAAAGTTATCACAACATAACTTAATCACTGCAACACTTCTTGCCACATTTACTTCACTCAACTACTTATTCAAAACCACCAACCACACAATTAACACTGTTATTTGCTACCTTACCTACATATATAGATATAGATATCTGGATGTATAGATATTGGTATAGGCAGTTAACTAATCAAGCTGAACAGCAGTGTCATAAGTAGCCCCAGCCTTCCAGTCACTAGGAATCAGACTCTTAAGTTGTACCCACTTTGAACCACTCACTTGGAACCTCAAATTTAGAGCTCCTTCTGGTGGATTAGGTATGTCCCATACTGCTCCATATGCCCTTCTCATACACCTCCATTCCTGCCATTCCTCCTGCAAATGACCAATTTCATGGTTATAACCCAATGCATTTGCATGCATACGAATTTCACAAACTTATAGTAATGCCTTTAGATATCACATACAGTTTTGGTTTCATAAGGTTAAAGTTCCATTAAGTATTCTATTAAGACGTTTGTGCATGCTTCTTTCCTTGTGGTGCGAGTTTGATCTTTACCTGCCACAATTCGACTGCTGTGATTTCGCTGACACCTGCTTGATATATAGCGATGAGTGCAAGATAGTGTGGGAATCTACTGTGCTCATGAACTTTGAACATGAGATTATAGCCTGGATACTGGCATGGAATCCTCTTGTATTCGACGTCAACCACTCCATATGAAATTAGTTCGGCAGCCAATCCTGGAAGCGCGAGTTTCGCGTAGGCACGAACACTCAGGATGAAGTCCGTGTTGTCTCCTTCACCGTGGTCAGTCACCACCACTTTCACCCCATCTTCACTGCAACACTTGGGAGACTTGCACCTAACCTGAACGATATTGATCATGGAGATCGATCAACAACGGTTTTTTTGCATTTAATTTCCATATAGTTATAGTCCAAAATCATCGTTGCAAACCATGGTGTACATTCTTTTTACTTTTGCATTTTCATAAGAACAACGTTTTAGTTTGCAACTACAGTTCAGCATGACGGTTTGAAAAGGAAAGTTTCTTTAAGAAGCGTAAACAATTTGAGAAAAGAGGAACCAAACATTCACAATGAATATAGATGAATATTCATCATGAGTATCATTATTCATTGATGAATATTCGGTTTGAAAATTTACAACTCTGAGATATTTTTGTGATGACCCCTTTTTCTCCATATAATACTCGGAGAATATCCTTTTGGAAGAACATGTATACTGGTGGCTGTCATTTTCATGTGCCCTAGAGAGCATGGTTCGAGCTTAAAAGTCTAAAAGCACTGATATATAGAACACAAGTTTATAAAACCCATTAATTCTGTATCATGTGTAAAAGTGCTATAATAAGTTTATAAGATGTTTTTATGATACCTTTGAAATAAGGCCAGTGTATGTCCTTTTAGTTTTTTTATAAGACAAGTTTGAGAAATGTATCCGATAAACACATCATTTAGTAATGTACTTGTTTTTACATTACACTTTTTCAAATAATGTCATACAAAAAATTAATACGACATTTTACTTCAAAATTATCATAAGAAAAACTTGTTAAAAACCCTAAAACTGTGCTATATAGAGTACTGCAACACTTTTACATATGATACACTATCATTTTGTCCTACAAAGCAAAGTCATATAAAGGAGTTTTAATTATTAGGATAACCGGACATCTTTTATGTCATATATATAAACCCGATTTTCTTGTAACAATGCAACTGTAAAAGTTACATCGACCCACAAAATCAAACGTATATCCTTTTCGCAAAATGGATTCAGTAGAATTACCTGATAACATGCTCCACAACCAGTACCATTCCTGAAAAGCCTAGAAACTCCACTCACCTCACCACCATTGATGGTGCTTCCATAAGCTTTATACCCACAAGCACCAGCTGCAGATCATATCATGCATTATATATATGAGACTTAATTTCAGAAATTAGATACAGAAATCATATATATATATATATATATATAATATTAAATATGTGTACTTGGAGTCCCTAAGCAATCAGGGCTGCCATAGAAAGTTGCTCTTGAGGAGATGTAAGAGTCTTGAGTGAAGCAGGGTGAAGGCAACAGTATCAGAATCACACAGAGAAGAAGAGAGGCATGGCAGAGTGTTAAACATAAACCCATGCCTTAGTTTTGATTTTCACACAAGTAACTAAAACTGGTTTATGATGAGATAAAGAGTGTGTAAAAATAGGTGTAGGATGTGAAGTCTATTGTGGAAAGAAACCATATTTATAGTTGAGATCATGGAGGTGGTGAAATGGCCAAGTGGAATTCAGGATTAGTTAAAGGATACACATGGAGTTATATAATTATTTTATTTGTTATAAAAATGTTATCTCTGTATGCTCACGAAATTAATTAGTAGGCACTTGTGCATTTAGTTTGTCGTAGTAATATATATGGTCTTATAGACCTTAAACATCGAATTCACGTCTAGTTGGGTATAGCACAGATGTTTTCGAGACGGTATACATGTATAAACATGCAAAAGTTGTCGGGTAGCCCCGTGCACTGTGGGAGTTACGGTTTTTTGGGCTACTATTAGGGCGTTGGGTTTTGATTTAAGCTAGTCATCTAACGGGGTTTTGTGTACTTGATTTACTTATCAGATAATGTTTTTAAGGGCATCTCCTGTCCACCACTAAAACGCTAAAAAAAAAGGAGCTCACAAACCCTGGTATCTATATTTGGAGGTCTAAAAGTTGGCATCTATATATCCGATATTCATATTTTATTCAACTTTTATAATTCCCCACACATACACACACACACACATATATATATATATATATAGAGAGAGAGAGAGACACTTGTGACTACATAAGACCCATGAGACCATTTTTTTACACTTGAAACTTCACAGTAAAACACTGTGAATGTAACTTTCACAGCATTTTACCTTCACAGCGTTTTGCTGTGAAGTTTCAAGTGTAAAAAAATGGTCTACTTCACAGCGTTTTACCTTCACAGCGTTTTGCTGTGAAGTTTCAAGTGTAAAAAATGGTCTACTTCACGGCGTTTTACCTTCACAGCGTTTTGCTGTGAAGT